GCTAACTCCCAGAAGTTATAGAGATTTCCCTCAGCTATACAAAACTCAGTGGAATTTCTTTGTCATGGTCCCATTCAAATGTTCTTCTCTCTCTCTCTCTTCTTAAAAGTTATTTTATTTATTTGATGGTGATTATAGGATTGACCAGGGTGGGAAGGAATGAGGATCAGGGAACAGTGTTACAAGATTATGAAGACAGGGTTGTACTATCCTTTCTGAGCAAGCTCCTGTTCTCAGGTTATCATGTCCCTGAAGCAGATGCTAAGATTCACACAGAACCGTGGTTATCATGAATCCATAATGCAGAAAAATATCTGTCCCTTGAATGCAATTAAAGTGTTAATTTCTTGCCCTTTTAAAGTAGATTGTCATATATCAAGCACACTGAAAAAGAAATAGAATTCTGTAAGCTAAAATTAATTACAGGACAAAAAATCAGAATACAGTCCCTTCAATTCAAATATTTCTTTCTTTATTGATGTTTCTTTCTAATTTTTTTTTGTTTTCCATAATAGCTTTTTATACATACAGGGATTCATCCCTCTCCCTCCCCTTCATCCCTCCCTATCTTCTCCTCCCAACCTTTTTCCCTTTAGTGTAAGACCCTTAGTATAAGTTACAAGCTTAACTTTTGACATGTGACATGATAAATACAGGCAAGGTAGAAAGCCTAATATCATATTTTAAGGCATATTTAAAAGTTTCATTGGGACTATTACTTTTATTTGAAAGTAGAGATGCATATTGCATGGAACCTTTACTGCCTGGTATGCTAGTCTCCCTTGTGTATTATATATACATAATATATATATATACATATATATGTGTACATATATATATATACATTATATATATATATATATATATATATATAATGTATATGCGCAAATAGGGCCTGGCACAATGGCCCAGCAACTAAAGTCCTTGCCTTGAACGCACTGGGATCCCATATGGGCACTGGTTCTAGTCCCGGCAGCCCTGCTTCCCATCTAGCTCCCTACTTGTGGCCTGGGAAGGCAGTCGAGGACAGTCCAATGCTTTGGGACCCTGCACCCTCACAGGAGACCTGGAGGAAGTTCCTGACTCCTGGCTTTGGATTAGCACAGCACCGGCCATTACGGTCCCTTGGGGAGTGAATCATCGGACAGAAGATTTTTCTCTCTGTCTCTCCTCCTCTCTGTATATCTGACTTTGTAATAAAAATAAATAAATCTTTAAAAATATATATATATGTTTACATTTTTTCTTGTTTACTTTGTTTACATGTATATATAGCACTTTGTGTTTTCATTGTTTTATATTAGAGATATTTATTTAATCTTTGCCTTACTTCACTAAGCAGAATGAATGGCTCTCAGCTGGGACCATTTTGTTACAAATGGCAAGATTTCACTCCTCTTTAGGGCTGAGTAGTATTCCACCGAATAACTGTACCACAATTCCTCCCTCCCTCCCTCCCTCCCTCCCTTCCTTCCTACCTTCCTTCCTTCCTTCCTTCCTTCCTTTCCCTCTCTTAATCGGGACTACCGTAATCCACGATGTCCTCATCCTAACCAATTACATCTGCAAAGATCTTTCTAGGTAAGGTTACATTTTGGAATTCCAGTTGTTTGAAGAACATGATTCCATCCAGTACAGAGGAAGCACAGTTTCTTTATCCATTGCTCTGTTGATGGGCATCTGGGTTAGTTCAGTGTCTTTGCCATTGTGAATTGTGCTACAGGTCACTCTTTCATGTACAGATTTCATTTCCTTTGGATATATACCCAGGCATAGGTTGGTTTGGTCTTATTGTAGATTGATTCTGAGTACCTTTCATAAGACTTCTAAAGTGATTGTACTAGTTTACATTCTCACTGACAGGGTAACTTTTTCCCCATATCCTTTCTAACAATTGTTAGTTGCTGATCTCTGTATATATAAAAAGAAATAGTCCCATCACTAGAGTTAGATGGAACTTCACTGTAGTTTTTATTTACATTCCCCTAATAGTTGGTGGGACCTGAGCATTTTTTTCATATGGGTGTGAGCTTTTTGAATTTTGTCTTTTGAGAAATATCTGTTCATATCCTTGTGCATTCTTAAACAGTTTGTTTTGCTATTTCTGAGTGTTTCTGGAGCTCTTTATCCTAAATACTAGTCCCTCTCCCATTCTGTTGTATGCCTCTTCCCTTTATTGATTGTATCCTTCACTGTACAGAAGCCTCTTAGTTTGATGTAGTCCCATTTGTTTATTTTGTCTTTAACTGCCTATGCTTTTGATGTCTTTTCTAAAAAGCCTTTGCCCCTGTGTTTTCCTCTAGTAGCTTGATGACATCTGAGTGTAGGTTTAGATCCTCAGTCTTTTTAGTGCTGATTTTTTAATAAGGTAAAAGGTAGGGGCCTTGCCTCTTACTTTTGCAGGCTGTTTTCCAATCTTCTGAGCAGCATTTCTTTGAAGACACTACCCTTCCCTGGGTTGTTTCATTTATCTTGTTGAAGATTAGTTGGCTGTACATGTGTAGACTCATTTTTGATGTCTCTATTCTGTTCCACTGATCTTCTTCCCTGTTTTTGTACCGGTACCAGAGTGTTTTAAATATCATTGCCCTATAATACATCATAAGGTCTTGTTATGTGATTCTTCCCGATGCTTTTATGATTTAAAGTGACTTTGGTTATTCAGAGTCTCTTGTATTTCAGTTTAAATTTTTTAGTCCTCTTTTCTAGCTCTGTGGAAAATGTTGTTGGGATTGGGATTGCATAGAATCTGTAGATTACTTTCAATAATATGGACACTTTTATGATGTTGATTCTACCAATCTAGGAAATTTCTCCACCTTTTATTGTCCTCTTCTATTTCTTCTTTAATGTTTTATAGTTTTCATTGTAGAGGTCCTTTACATCTTTGGTTAGGCTTTTCCCGAGGTACTTGAGATTCTTTTCTACTATTTTGAATGGAATTGATCTTACAAATTTTTTCTCTGCCACCGAATTGTTTATGTATACTAAGGCCACCAATTTATGTTAATTAATTTTATATTCCTACTTCCTTGCCAAACTCTCTTGAATTCCAGTAGTCTTTTTGTTGAGTCTTTTGATTCTCCTATGCAGAGAATCATGTTGTCTGTGGAACAGAGATCATTTGACTTATTTCCAAATTAGATTCCTTTACTTTCTTTGTCTTGCCTGGTAACTCTGATTAGGGCTTCCAATATCATTGTTGACTAGCAATGGTGAGAGTGGACATCCTACACATTACTTTGATTGTGTTGTGAAATTTTTCTTCTATGCCTTACTTGTCTAGAGTTTTTAGCATGAAATAATGTTGGATTTTATCAAATGCTTTCTCTGTATCTATTCAAATGATCATATGGCTTTTACTTTTCATTTTGTTGATGTGGTGTATCATGTTTATTGGTTTGTATTTGTTAAATCATCCCTGCATGGCAGAGATAAATTCCATTTGGTCCATGTGGATGATCTGTCTGATGTATTATTGGATTCTGTTGGTCAGTGTTTTGTTGAGGAATTTTGTGTCTGTGTTCATTAGGAATCTTGGTCTATAGTTCTCTTTAGGAATTAAGATGATGTTAGCTCATAGAAGGAATTTGGGAGGGTTGCCTCTCTTTCTGTTGTTTTGAATAGGCTGTGAAGAATTGGAGTTGGTTCTTCTTGAAATGCTTGATAGAATTCAACTGTGAAGCTATCCTGTCTTGGACTTTTCTTTGTTGGGAGGGGTTTAATTGCTGATTAAATATCTGCTCTAGTTACTGGTTTAGATTTCCAATGTCCTTGTGTTAGTTTCAGTAAATTACATGTGTCAACACATCTGTGCACTTATTCTAGGCTTTCCAATTTTCTGTCATATAATTGTTTATAATTGTTCGTGGTGATTTATTATATGTCCATGGTATGCATTGTTACAACTCCTTTATCGTCTCTGAGTTTATTAATTTGTGTCTTGATCTTCTGTTTCTTTATTAGCTTGCCTAATGGTGTATATATTTTGTTCTTTTTTTTTTTTTTAAATAACCAGCTCTTTGATTTGTTAATCTTTTGTATTGTTTTTTTGGTTGTAATTTATTTATTTATTCTCTAATTTTAATTATTTTTTCTTCTACTTTTGGGATTAGTTTGCTGCTGTTTTTCTATCTCATTCAGATATGTAGTTAATTTGTTTACCTCGAGCCTTTCTAATTTCTTAATATAGACACTAATTGCGATGAATTTCTCTGTTAGCATTGCTTTTGCTGTGTCTCATAAATTTCAATATGTTGTGTTAACATTTTCATTAGTTTCAAGGAACTTTTATTTCCTTTTGAGTTCTTTAACCTATCGTTAATTCAGCAGTGTGTTGTTCAGTTTCCGAGTGTTTGCGTATTTACTGGAGTATTTTGACTTGCTAGTCTCCAGTTTCATTCCCTGATGATCTAAGAAAATAAATGGTGTGATTCCAATTCTTTTAAATTTGCTGAGGCTTGTATTATGATTTAGAATACGATCTAGCATGGATGAGATTTCATGTACTAGTGAAAAAATATGCATTCTGAGTTTGTAGGATGAAAGGTTCTGTAAATATTGACTAAGTTCATTTTTCCTATTGTGTAATTGGGTTCTGTTGTTTCTTTGCTAAGGTTCTATCTTGTAAACCTGTCCATTAAAGTTAGTAGAGTGTTTAATATTAGTATTATTGTGTTGGAGTCTATATATCCCTTTAAATCCATTAGCAATTATTTTATGTAGCCAGGTATTCTAGCATTTGGTGCCTATGGTTCAGGTATTTCTAACATGCTTGTGTAAATTCCTTACCTGGCTGAATTTATTTCTTTACTTCACTGTATGGTGCTATGATCTGTGAACTTACATGTTTATGATCTGGATTTACTCACAGATCAGCCTGGGTAGGAAATTGAGAATTGTTCACCTCAAATAAGCAGCAGGCTTTGTAATTCAAAATATCACCCCTAGGAGTTCTGTCTTTGTAACCACTTCTCTCTCTGTGTGTCTGTTTCTAAAAGGATGACATCGGAAAACTGGGCAAGCTGTTGATGCAGGGCCCCTTCAACATCTGGACAATTCACAAAGATCGCTACAAAATGAAGGATTTTATTCGATTTAAGCCCAGCCAGCGGCAAATCTACCTATTTGAAAAGGGAATAGTGTTCTGTAAGATCCGAATGGAGCCCAGTGACCAGGGGCTGTCTCCTCATTACAGCTTCAAGAAGTCTATGAAGGTACCAACCATACCCATCACAACTAGAGAGAGAGGCGGGAGGGGGAGGGAGGGAGAGAGAGTGAGAGAGATCATCCTATTTTACAGATGAGGAAGATGAAGGTTAGAGAGGTAAATTTAACTTGTCAAATACCACACAGGAGAGCCAGAATCCATTGCTCAGCCTGCCTGACTCCAGGGTCAGCTGGCACAAGGCTCCCTTTCCGCTAGGGAGGGAAAGTTACAGAAAAGTGTTGGTATGGTAGGTATATAACCTTTCTAACCTAAGTATTAGTAGAAGGGCCCTCTATTCTCCAGGAAAACAGGTGAAAGACTGGATGAATTTAGGGCTGGGTGGAATGTCATTTTAGATTTGCCCTTCTCAACTTCACATGGTTGTGTACAAGAGTAAGTAATATCCTGATCCCGGTGGGGGGGTTGGTTTAGGAATCATTGTCTATTATATAAAGTGTCACCTGTTCCCTTTGTTACAGAAAATATTTCAATGCCAGCTGGCTGTTTTACTCATCCACATGCCCACACACATTTTTGCTCTTCTGACTGAAGCTACTAATTCCTGATGGTAGCCCTTATTTTTTCTGTGTCCTAGTAGACACTCATTCAGTTCCCGTTCTGGAGAGATTTGTGAAACAAGACACAAACTCTTCACTTGACATTTGAGTACCACAACTCTCCTGATAGAAAGGTGACGTCCATGCTGCATTCTGAAACGCAAGGCACATAACAGCGTACCTGACTGTGCTTCATGTCTTCATGGGGCCATACGCAGAGTAAACAAAATATGTGGAAGGAAGACGGAAGAAGAGGAATTATAAAAAAAAATGAGAGTTAAAGAGTAGTTTTCAAAATTAATGTATTTGACAAAGAGAGACAGAGACAGACACAAATCTTCCACTTACAGATTCATCTCCCAGAATACCTGCAACAAGCGGGGCATGGGCAAGGCAAATGCCTGGAGCTAAGAACTCAGTCCTGGGCTGCTCGATGGGTGGCAAGCTGCCTCCCAGAGGCACATTAGCAGGAAGCTGGAATGAGAAGCAGAGCTAAGACTCAACCTCAGCCATTCCATTAAGGAAAGCCAGCATTCAAAATGGTATCTTTTAAAAAAGATGTATTTATTTTTATTGGAAAGCCAAATATACATAGAGGAGAAGAGACATCTGCTGATTTACTCCCCAAGTGACCATGACGGCCAGAACTGAGAGGATCCAAAGCCAGGAGCACAGAGCCTCCTCTGGGTCTCCCACACGGGTGCAGGGTCCCAAGGCTTTGGGCTGTCCTTGACTACTTTCCCAGGCCCCAAGCAGGGAGCTGAATGGGAAGTGGGGTCACTGGGACACAAACTGGTACCCATATGGGATCTGGGATGCATGCAAAGCAAGGACTCCATCCACTAGGCTACCGTGCCGGGCCCTAAAAATGGTATCATAACCACTGTGACCTGTGTCCTCTCCAGGTGTAATTTTGCTCTCTGAAAATAATGGTACTGAGCACTTCTCTTCTTTCTTTGCAATAGTTGGCGACACTTTCAATTCGCCAGGTTGGAAGGGGGAGCAATAAAAAGTTTGAAATTGCCAGCCGAAGTGGATTGGAGAAATACATCCTGCAGGTAAAACTCGTACTTTCCTCCAGGGTATCTGCTACTCTCTCCCTGCTATGTTCCCATCGCTTGCCAAGTGATGCCATTCACATCCTTCTAAAGGTCCCTTAGAGAACACTGTGCGATGAGTGTTCCAGGGATTATATTCTCATATTCTCGTGATTTCTTGTCTTAAATACAGGCCACCTCAAAAGAAATCAGAGATTGCTGGTTTTCAGAAATAAGTAAATTACTGGTGGAACAAGAAAACAATGTTAAAGGTAGGGGCCCCTCCTAACTTTAATTCAGAGTTACACTGCTTTCATCTTTTTGATCGGTGGGTCTGTGGACTGTGGATATTATTACAATGGTTCAAATAATGTTAAGATAACAGTGGCCATGTTTTCACAGTCCCTGCATGCACCTGTGCTTCCTTTAGATTGTGTGAGTTATTTTTGTGTGGTTGGTTGTGGTTATGTAGATGTGTTTCTTTCAGTTATATTCCTTCTCATGCCAATTGCCAGATGAATTTTAAAATATATATATACCTATTCAGAATTTATTTGAAAGGGAGATTAGTAAGAGAGAAGGGGAAGAAATGCACACACACACACACACACACACACACACACACACACACGCGCGTGCGCGCGCAGAATGGGTTGTGGAGAGAGAGATGGCGCTCTTGTATCATTTGGTTCAGTCCTCAAATGTCTGCCTCACATGGTTGTCAGAACCCCAGTTAGTTGAATCGTTTTCCGCTGCCTTTGCTGGGTACATTAGCAAGGTGCTAGCTCAGAGTTGGAAGAGCTGTGATGACCACACATTTGGGAGGCTGGCATCACAGACCACAGCCTGGCCCACAGTGCTGGGCTCCAGGTCAACTTTTCAGTCCAAAACTCCAAGGCTATTTAAGAAAGTGTCAGTAGAGATTCAACACCATGCTAGCTTTCAGAAGGTACAACACTTTAAATGTTGAGGCATAATTAACATACCATAAAATACCCTCGAAGTATACAATACAAAGTATAAGAAGTATACAATAAGTTTTAACTCTTCAAAAATTACATAACCATTGCCCATCTAATTCTGTTTCCAAAACATTTTCACAGTCTGCTCCCAGTCCTGTACCAATTAGCCATGATCTCTCATCTCCTTCCCCCACCCCTGTCACCACTAATATACTTTCTGTCTCTAGTGGCTTTTCCTATTCTAGACATTGTAAGCATATGTGATAATATGAAACATGGCCCTTTCCATCTGATGTCTTTCATTTGTATAATTTTGTCAAGCTTTATTCAGGTTGTAGCATGTTCAATACTTAATTTCTTTTTATGATTAAATAATAGTTCACCATATGGTTATTCCATTCTCATAGTCCATTTTGTGCTGCTGTCACAGGATAGTATGAACTGGATAATTGGAAATGAACTGACTTTCTTGGCTTCCAGTTCTAGAAGTGGTGAAGTCCAAGATTGAAGCATTTGGGGAGGGTCTTCTCTGCACTGTCACATGGCAGAAAATAGATGGGCCAGAGGTGTGGAGAACTCAGCCCTTTACATGGATCCTGTTTATAGACTAGCACACTCATTCCTGTAGTACAGCACTACCTCCCTCATGCCCCCATACAGCTTCCTTTAGGTCCTTCTAGGCACCACCATGTTGGGGATCATGTTTCTAACACATGAACTTTGCAGGACACGTTCAATTAACAGCAGCCCTACTTGTTTACCCATTCGTCAGTTGATGAACATTGGAGTTGCTGAGTTTTTGGAACTTATTTTCAAAATTTCTTGGGTACATGGGACAGACATGCTGGGCAAAATGTGGTCTCTATGTTAACTTTCTGAGGGAGTTCCAAATTGTTTCCCAAAATAGTAACACCATTTCATACTCAATTAGCAGTGTAGAAGGGCTCTATTTTCTCCCGTGTCTCACCAACACTTGGTATTGTCCATTATTGTCATTGTTATGGTTGTGATTGACTCCTAGTGGATCCGAAGTGGTACTTTACTATAGCTTTATGTGCTTTCCTCGTGACTAGTGATGCTGAATTTTTTTTCCATGCACTTATTGGCCTTTCATATATTTTCTTTGAAGAACTCTCTGTTCAATTTCTTTGCCCATTTTTAAGTCTCTTTGCCCATTTTTAAGTCTCTTGTCTCTTGGTTGAGTTGCACATTGTGTGTATGTGTGTATTTCTACACTCTTTTCAGACACATGATTTCAAGTATTTTCACTGTTCTGTGAGTTGCCTCTTTTCCAATAAAGTGTTTATTTTGGTGAGGTCTGACTTGTCTGTTTTTTTGGTTGGTTGGTTGTGTTTTAGATGTTATATCTGAGAAACCATTGCCTAATCCCAGGTCATGAGGATTTCTATCTGTGCTTTCCTCTAGGAGTTTATAGTGTTTTTAAAAACAGATTTATTTATTTATTATTGGAAAGGTGTATATACAGAGAGGAGAGACAGAGAGGAAGATCTTCTGTCGGATGTTTCACTCCCCAAGCGGCTGCAGTGGCCGGAGCTGAGCCAATCCAAAGCCAGGAGCCTCCTCCAGGTCTCCCACACAGGTGCAGGGTCCCAAAGTCTTGGGCCATCCTCGGTTGCTTTCCCAGGCCACAAGCAGGGAGCTGGAGGGGAAGTGGGGCCACTGAGATTAAAACCAGTGCCCATATGGGATCCTGGCATGTGCAAAGCAAGGACTTTAGCCATTAGTCTACAGCACTGGGCTCCCCAATATTGTTAATAAATGGTTGGTTGACACATAAACTTATGTAATCAGAGGACTAACTATCATAGAGGTTTAGTTAAGCAATTTCCTCAAAAATGCTGATTGGGATTGTAACACCTCCAGATCAATTTGGTGATCTATAAATAAGTTAATTTCTTAATGGCATGGAGCTTAATCTACCACTGAAGTTTTAATAGAGTCCCACTAACCAGCTGTGTCTTGCAGAAGAAGACTCATGTTGTTTTACAAAGGCATGACATTTATTCCGTGAATAGTACAGAATCACATTTTTCAAGTCCACTTCAAGGGCTGGCATTGCGCTTTCTCGGTTGTAAGAATCTAGTTAAGAAACCAAACCAGAACCTAGCATGGAATTTAGATGAATGGAAAAATCCCATTGAACTGTAATGGCCCCTGGGCATTGTCCAGCCCTTTCCTTTTATGGATATGGAAACAAGGTGTGGCTTTCACCCAGCTTGTCAGTAGCACAAGTCATTTTCAGGAGCCTGGTCCCCCAAGCAGGGTCTGATGAAATGTCCTCAGGAGTGACAGGGGTGACACAAACAGCATAGGCTCTCAGAATGGAGAGAGGGCCTGCAGTGAGCTGTGTGAGTGAGCGAGATCCAGGACTAGCGGGAACCTCAGGAGATGAGACTCCAGGGCTCCAAGTTTGCATTTAACACTATTGTAGGTGATGGAGAATTACTGGAGGTTGAGATCTGTTGCTTTTCTTAAACCTGGGATAGTTAGTGTCTGAGCAAAAAAAAAAAAAAAAAAAGCGGGGGAGGGGGAGTGATTTTTATCGTTATCCCAAGGACTCTTAATCTATTCCTCACCCAGTCTTATAATTTGATATCATATGGACAAACTAAGCCCTTCATGGGCATTATCCCTGAATTCAACATGAAGCAAGCCAGATAGACCCAGAACCCAGGCTTGCAGGGGACTGCCCCGCATGGGCTATGGGCCTGGAACAGAATTCCAGGACTAGGTGAGCTGGGGGCTGCAGAAACCTTTTCCAAGTTACTAGGAAAAGGAGATTAAGACTTACACACTTTGACATGTTTTTATAGTACTCTCTCTGGGCCCATGTGTGCATATTTAAAATCAACTCAAATTAGTGTATGTGTGAGAGGACTTTATTTTTGTTGTTGGTCTTTGACTAATTCCAGGCAGGAGGAATCTACAATAGAAAACAAGTGCTAGGTAAAAACTTGATTGTTTTTCCCTAACCAGTGTCAAATTCATATGATTCTATGTGATTACTGTTATAGATTATTTTTTTTTCAACACTCAACTTATCATGTGAGGTTTCCAATTTTTGGAAAATCCTGGTTTCTCAATAACCAGTGGCCCCATTCCTCTTTCCTGGGTTCTGTCGTTCTCTTGCTGGTTGTCCTGGCCTCTTGCTGTTTTCTTGGGCTTTCCTATCAGAGCCTCCAGTTCTCTCATTTTCTCCAGGCTTCCCTGCCTTCTAACTTGCTGAGTAGGTCAAAGTACCCTCTGATGTTGATTCCTGCAGCTTCCTCTCTTTATGTGGAATTCTGATCTTCACTTCCCTTTCTTCATTCCTCCTTATCTGGGAGCTGTATGTGCTTATACTTTGGCTAGTCTTAAGTTTCAGTGGTGCCCATTTTTCTATTTCTGTCAACTTTCTCTCTCTCAGGGAGTACTCAGTCTATGCACGTTGAGTGAAACTTATACCCTGTGACTCAGTTCTGCTACAAGAGCTACCTTATTAATGATCTTTTGGCCTGACACTTACGGAACCACACCAGCCCTACCCCAGAGATAAGCAACAAGGAAGGGGTGAGGGCTCTAGAAGACAGCTGAGTGGCTCTCCCTCCATTGCATCCAGTGCGTATGAGCATGCTCTCCTATAGCATTTGCTGGGCTCCATTTACATTTTCCTTCCTACCAGAACACAAATTCATTTAAGGGCATAGGAGTGATCCTGTTAGTTTTAGTTTCCCTGCTGCCTCCTATACTAAGGCCCCTGGGCACTTGTTATGGTGCCCAGTCTGTTTGGTGAGCATGCAAATGAAAGGACCTCAGTGAGCAGCCAGATGAAGCAGCAAACTATGCTGCGAGCAAAGAATGGGAATGATGGAGTTCTGCTCAGGTGTATCCCAAACCTCCCACCCATTGGTTCATTGAACTCATATGTTCCGCAAGTTTCTTTGATAGTTGGCATTTCCAGCAAAGAGAGAAGGAAGGAGCGTGCTATAATGAGTCAGTTTTTAAGGAGATAAGAAAAGGAGTCCTGCTCTTCACTTCTCATCTTTTTAACCTATGTGTGAGCTGCATACTCTACCCAGTGGTGCCCTTGGACTGATCCCTTACAGAATGGCATCCGCAGAGTAGAGGCAGGTCTTAGAGTTCAGGTGAGTGAGGAGACACTTTCCCACGGGCGTGACCTGCTGGGAGCCAGCACTGCTTCTTCAGCTGCTCCAGGGAAGCATGTGCATGCCACACTTTCCTGTGCATGCGTTTTTCTTTCAAGTAGAAACAGTGGAGTTAAATGTGTTCCATGGGTGGAAAACCTAGAAAGAATCTCCACTAGCAAGCGAGACCCAGTGCCCAGCAAGCATAGGACTAAAGGTAGGAATCAAAGAGAGAGTGAAGCACAGAAACCATGGAGGAACTCAAGGGACGTAGATGCTGGGGAAGACAACATTGGGTCCAGATCCTGCTTACTTAGAAGAGGAGAGAAAGAAGGGCATTGATGCCCTCTGTGTGGTATGAAATCAATTTCCTGTTTATCTGTGGAAATCTACTTAGGTCAGGATTAATATGAAGAAATTGACTCATGTTGATAAGACGCTTGCCCTACAGAAGAGGGCGAAGGAAATGACTATAGGGAAAAGTGCGTGACAAGAACGGCCAGCCTCTATTTCTGTTGCTCTCCCAAGCTTTCCATGGGAAGGTCAAGAGTTCTTGTCCCGTTATTTCCCCACCAGATGTGATCCCTGGCTGCTTTGTGCATTGATTTTCCTGTGCTCAGAATGGAGCAGGGGGTTGAAAATGGAGGCAATGGGAGGCATTTCTCTATTTCAAGTGATACAAAAGTAAGCTGTGTATTTATGGGGCTTTGAGTGTGCACTTTTTCCTTTTGGCTCTTCCTCCTTTTATTTATTATGTAAACAAAAGATAAATTTTTTCCCAGGAACTTTCTAGATTATACTTTAGTACTGCCCATGGAATTTAGTATTGAGAGTCTTGATTTTGACTGATGTCTTCATTAGCCTAGACAGTCACACATTGAATTCTATCTATGGAATGGCCAGAATAATAGAAATTGATCTTCTCGCAGCTCTGGAGACCAGAAATCTGACATGAGGGTTCCAGCATGGTTGGGTTAGGGAGGGCTCTCTTTCCAGCTTTGTCCATTCATGCCAGGGCAAGGCTAACCAGTGTGTTTCTGCCTCAGGCTTCTAGACCCTGGGGTGCTAAGGGGCATGAAAGGCAACAAGAGGGTCAGAGAATGAAGAAATCAGATGTTCAGTCTTGAGCAAGAAAAGGTGATAGCAATATCATCTGCCATGGCAGTAATTCTTAATTAGGGTATGTGGACCTATTATGCAATGGTATACTTGGAAAATAAAATGTGACCTGTTTTCTTCTTAGTACAAATGAGGAAATATCCGACTTCAAAAAATCTTGATTGGTGAATATTCCTAGAATATTATCCCTAAATATTTTCGTGATAAGACTTGTTCCTTGATGAATTGGAACAGGATCTCTTGGAGCTATGTATTTTTTAAAGATATTCTTGTCTGAAAGAGAAAATCAGGGAGACAAACCTCTCATTCACTGGTCCACTCCCCGAATGGCCAAATGGTCCCAGTGGCCAGAGCTGGGCTGATCCAAAATTGGGATCCAGGAGCTTCTTCTGGGTTGCTCCTGGGTGCAAGAGGCCCAGAGTGTTGACCATTAACTACTCTCCTAGGCCATTAGCAGGGAGTTGGACTGGAAATGGAGCATCCGAGACTAGAACCAATGCCCATATGGGATGCCTGTGCTTTGAGCAGGGGATTAACCACCCTAGTCTGCTGGCCCCTAGAGCAATGGATTTTTATGCTTTGGTTTCAAATAGAGATTTTTGGTTAGTTTGTGAGAAACTTCTTTTGAGAAAAAATGAAATCAAATTTTCATCTGTTGTACCCTATAATACTTAGATTTAATGTGGTAATGGGGTAGAGTCACATGCTAGCATCCTCTATTTAAAAACAAACAAACAAAACACTTGGGCCCAGCACGATTGCTTAGTGGTAAAAGTCCTTGTCTTGAATGCTCAAGGATCCCATATGGGCACCAGTTCTAATCCTGACTGCCCTGCTTCCCATCCAGCTCCCTGCCTGTGACCTGGGAAAGCAATCAAGGACAGCCCAAAGCCTTGGGACCCTGCATGCATGTGGGAGACCCGGAGAAGCTCCTGGCTTCTGGCTTCGGATTGGCTCAGCTTCAGCCGTTGTGGCCACTTGGGGAGTGAACCATCGGATGGAAAATCTTCCTCTCTTTCTCTCTCCTCTTTGTATATCTGACTTTCTGATAAAAATAAATAAATCTTTAAAAAAAATCAAAGTGAAGGAAGACCTCCCCCACCAGCACTGGATTAATTTTTTTTTTTAGGTGCTCAACAGACCAGTAAAGTGTGTTGAGATAGCATTTCTCAATCTATTCTCATTCATTTACTGAGTGATACTTCTCAGGGAGAAAAGACTGAACCTATCAAACAAGTCATAAGTATATTGTTTTCATGAGGGGTTTAAGCTCTTCCCTCATGTGCCAGGAGTGCCATAAAGAGGTCTTGATAAGAACATTTGCTGGAGGCTAGAAGGGACAACGTTGGAAAAAAATCTTCAAATTTGCTGATCATAGCTCTTTACTCATTCAGAACATGAAGATGTGTATTACTCAAATGTCTATTCTACCTTCCTTCCTTCCTTCCTTCCTTCCTTCCTTCCTTCCTTCCTTCCTTCCTTCCTTCTTTCCTTCCTTCCTTCCTTCCTTCCTTCCTTCCTTCCTTCCTTCCTTCCTTCCTTCCTTCCTTCCTTCCTTCCTTCCTGCCTTCCTTCCTTCCTGCCTTCCTTCCTTCCTTCTTCCCTTCCTTCCTTCCTTCCCTCTTTCCTTCCTTCCTTTCTTCCTTCCTTCTTCCTTCCTTCCTTCCTTCCTTCCTTCCTTCCTTCCTTCCTTCCCTCTTTCCTTCCTTCCTTCCTTTCTTCCTTCTTCCCTTCCTTCCTTCCTTCCTTCTTCCCTTCCTTCCTGCCTTCCTTCTTCCCTTCCTGCCTTCCTTCCTTCTTCCCTTCCTGCCTTCCTTCCTTCTTCCCTTCCTTCCCTCTTCCCTTCCTTCCTTCCTTCCTTCTTTCCTTCCTTCCTTCCCTCCTTCCTTCCTTCCTTCTTCCTTCCTTCCTTCCTTCCTTCTTCCTTCCTTCCTTCCTTCCTTCCTTCCTTCCTTCCTCCTTCCTTCCTTCCTTCTTCCTTCCTTCCTTCCTTCCTTCCTTCCTTCTTCCTTCCTTCCTTCCTTCCTTCCTTCCTTCCTTCCTTCCTTCCTTCCTTCCTTCCTTCCTTCCTTCCTTCCTTCCTTCCTTCCCTCTTCCCTCCCTCCCTTCCTTCCTTTCTTCCTTCCTTCCTTCCTTCCTTCCTTCCTTCCTTCCTTCCTTCCTTCCTTCCCTCTTTCCTTCCTTCCTTCCCTCTTTCCTTCCTTCTTCCTTCCTTCCTTCCTTCTTTCCTTCCTGCCTTCCTTCTTCCCTTCCTGCCTTCCTTCTTCCCTTCCTGCCTGCCTCCTTCCTTCCTTCCTTCCCTCTTTCCTGCCTTCCTTCCTTCTTCCCTTCCTTCCTTCCTTCCTTCCTTCCTTCTTCCCTTCCTGCCTTCCTTCCTTCTTTCCTTCCTGCCTTCCTTCTTCCCTTCCTGCCTTCCTTCCTTCTTCCCTTCCTTCCTTCCTTCCTTCCTTCCTCCTTCCTTCCTTCCTTCTTCCCTTCCTTCTTCCTTCCTTCCTTCCTTCCTTCCTTCCTTCCTTCCTTCCTTCCTTCCCTCTTTCCTTCCTTTCTTCCTTCCTTCCTTCCTTCCTTCCTTCCCTCTTTCTTTCCTTCCTTCCTTCCTTCCTTCCTTCCTTCCTTCCTTCCTTCCTTCCTTCCTTCCTTTCTTCCCTTCCTTCTTCCCTTCCTTCCTTCCTTCTTCCCTTCCTTCCTCCCTCCCTCCCTCCCTCCCTTCCTCCCTTCCTTCCTTCCTTCCTTTCTTCCTTCTTTCCTTCCTTCCTTCCTTCCTTCCTTCCTTCCTTCCTTCCTTCCTTCCTTCCTTCCTTCCTTCCTTCCTTCCTTCCTTCCTTCCTATCTCTCTGTTGAATACTTAAGGTCATCAGACCCAAAGCCATGGGGTGAGCAGACACAAGAAAGGAGTGTGTGCCAGTGTAAGGTTAGCTTCAGACTGTGACCAGGCCTTTCTGTGTCAGTCCCTGTATGCTGTGTCAGTGGATATATGCACTTGCTCTCAGTGTCAGGAGGTGGGCTGGTTTTAAGAGATGAAAAGCTAACAGTGCAATGCCTATTCTACTGAGATGAGCTTGGGGGACTTTTTCACTAGTTAGTTGTACACACACACACAGTCATTGAACACTCAGTGAGAAGATTGGTGGATAACCCACTGATAACCCACAGAGCCCTCAGAGTTAAGCTATGAAAGGTGCCACACTACACTGACAGCCTCGAATGCTGGTAAACATGGGGGGCAATACGAGGTCTTCCTTGCTGGTTGGAATGCACACGGATCCAGCCACTTGGCAAAAAGTTTGGTGGCTTGTTAAAAAGCAGAACGCAGCCTTAACATACAATGCAGCTATTCCTCTCTGTCCTCTTTGCTTCCTAAGGTTCTTCTGAAAGTCCTTTCTCAGTAATAAACTGCGCTATTTTTCTTGGCAACTGATCCAAGCACGCACTCTATAGGATTCTGCTATTCGGTCACTTGTGGGCCAAAAGCATTGAGGACCCCGTCACTGGCTTGGGTGTGCTGTGGGGAGCCCACGTCCCTGGCCTGCTGGAGCAGCTTCATTGCGAAGCCCTTCATCTTGGGGTGACCCTGGACTGGGAAAGGCGGACAGGGATGCAGCACCTGCTGCAATGTCTCCAGTTGCTGAGAGAGGTGGGGAAAACATCATCTGTCAGGGTGGCAGGGTTGAGAGATAGAGAAAGTGCCACACTTGGACGAGTTACTGATTTAAACATCAGGTGAGAATCATGGGGTCCTTGCCAGTATTTAACCTGTTGCCCCCTACGCCAGAGGGACAGACTGGCCTAAAGTATACGTGGCAGAACTTGAAAGTGGGTGAGTTCCCAGCCTAAACATCTGCCACCTGCCGTTTGAGGAGTAGGTAAGACCATGCCCTGATAGGAAAGATGAGGGACCCTAAAACATGGAGTGAGTGTATCTGGATACAGTCCCCTGAGCCCCTGGACTGGCAGTAGTCTACTCTTTGTGGGACAGTCGGCTTTTCCCTCTCCCTCTGACTCAGCCAGGGGCAAGGGATAATGTTTGCTTGTCCCCAGGTTCGTCCCCACTCTCCTTCCTAATTCCTTCCAGAACAAGTAGTAGGGTCAGATTGAAAT